TAACCTAAATTTACGAGTTATTCATATCAACTCAGGTTCCTTATACCTACAACTAAGCTCGGGAAAGGAAATGGCAGGGCGACTATCTTTGGGGATAGCATAGGGAATAAGGGAATGACCTTCCTCGGGTGATGAGCCTGGGGCTGAAAACTACTGCTACCAGACATCTTTGGAAAAATAAAGACTTAAATTATCTAAAAGGGGAGAGCTCTTACCTTAAGCCTAAACCCGAGGTGGTCCGAAGAGTGTTTGGAGGTTGAAAAGTGCCAAATGAGGTGGGGTATGGGAGTATTTATAGAATTCTGAGAAGGTCAAAGGTCTCTCAATTCCGACCCTCCATCCCATACCACGTGGCAATCATCTACCCAGGGTAATCATGGGCTCAAATATCGAAGCCATGTGGCACTCTATCAAACACCAAGCTGTCACTTCGTTCCTCGAGCACCTTCAAGGCTGATCAGTCTATTTCGAAGGCTGATCAGTCCCCAAGGGCTGATCAACCCATTTCCAATGCTAATCAGTCTATTTCGAAGGCTGATCAATCCATAAGAGCTAATCAACCCATTTCCACGGCTGATCAGTCTATTTCAAAGGCTGGTCAGTCTACAAGGGCTGATCAACCCATTTTCAAGGCTGATCAATCTATTTCAAATGCTGATCAGTCCCTAAGGGCTGATCAACCCATTTCCAAGGTTGATCAGTCCACAAAGGCTGATCAGTCCATTTCAAAGGCTGATCAACCCATTTCTAAGGCTGATCAGTCTATTTTGAAGGCTGATAAGTCCACAGGGGCTGATCAACCCATTTCTATGGCTGATCAGTCTATTTCCAAGGCTGATTAGTCCCCAAGGGCTTATCAACCCATTTCGAAGGCTGATCAGTCCACAAGGGCTGATCAACCCATTTCCAAGGCTGATCAGTCTATTTCAAAGGCTGATTAGTCTTCAAATGTTGATAAGTCTATTCCGAAGGCTGATTAGTCCCCAAGGGCAGATCAACCCATTTCCAAGGCTGATCAGTCCCCAAGGGCTGATCGTTCCACTTCGAAGACAATGCGGATCGCATACCAAGATCTCGAACATGAGACTCTGGCATGGATGCATGAGGGCCAGTGTTGATACCAATTTTTGACAATCTCACCCGAGCACAAAAATCGACGAGTTAGAGTCGATTTAGGCCCAATCGATGATGATCTCCTCGGGGCTTGGTGTCCTCGGGTCGATCACCATCGGCCTATTAGTCACTAAGCTGCCTTAAATACATTTCATGTAAGTTGTAATGCCTTAGGATGCAGAGTCCTACTAAAAATATGATTCCTCATTCTAAGAGGATGCTAGCACCAAAATCACACCTCTATCCAAACACGTAGGTAATGCAAAACCAATTGAGTTACAACTTCTAATCATATTAGGACTCCTAGGGAGGTCAACATTGCAATCCTACTAGGACTACACCTCCTACCTTTATAAATACATGATTTCAATTCATTATCAAGTATGTTTTTACACACAATTTACAGCATATACTATTTTCATAAATTCTCTCTCTGACTTAAGCATCGGAAGGGCGACGATGACATACATCGACGCCTTTGTTTCAAGTACTGGAAGACCTCGTTCGTGTTTATTCTAAGTCATCAAGTTCGGAAGTCAACATGTACTATTTTTGGTAGCATCAGCAACCATACTACCCTAACCTTTTACTTAATATCAATGTGGCAACTTAGAAATGAAATGGTAAAATAGATTGTGTGAATATCTTTAGATTAAAAGATATGTGTTTTTATTTTATATTAACACTTTTATGACATGGAACGATAGTCAGTTCGCATGTCACAATTGTTAATTGAGTGAATCTATGTTTGGCTCCCATTTTTTCAAAACTAATTTTCAATCACACATTCTCTCATAAAATAAATATGTAAACAAAAAAATTTCCTCCTTTTTAAACTACACATTCTACAAAATGTTACTATTCCAAAATATATCTTCTTATCCAAATGGGGCTCAAATAAGAGCTAATTTTCATTAGGAAGTTGGGAGGAGAATGACATTTTCCATGAAAAATAAAGTCAATCAAACACACTCTAATTTGAAAAATGACAAGTGAGAAAGTAGTTAAATTAATTGAAGCTTAGAATTCAATTGAAAATAAATTAAAGTTAATCCATTAAATGAGTTAATTGTCTTAATGGTCACTTGTGTCCGTGTCTTTGATTGCTCCTTGAAGTTTGAAATGTCAGGTTTTGGCCACTAAACTTATCCAAATGTTGAACGTTGTTCATTAGCATAACATCCATTTCAAATTTTTGACCGAATTAGTGAGGAGGTTAACAGAATGCACACACGTCTTGTCACGTCATTAATAAAATGCTACGTTTTTTATTGCTCACTGAACTTTGGAAATGCTTTCAATTACTCACTAAACTTTGAAAAATGTCTTCTATTGTTTATTGAACTTTGAAATAATTGAATTTTGATCACTAAACTTATAAAAATGATGTCTACATGTTGTTAAAAATTTGTACCACAAGTACACGGATCGTGTAAAAGTACTAAAGTAGGAAACGAGTTCAGGTTGTCGATTCCACGATAAATGATTACTCAATTACGCAATAGTTAAAATTAATTTTAATATATTTTTTAGAATTTTAAGCAATTTTTATCATTTAAAAAATTTTAATTTATTGTGTATTTCGTTGCAAAATCCATTTAATTAAATTTATTGTATGTTTCATTGCAAAAATCCAAATTTTAATTAAATTTATATTCTGTTTTGTTGAAAATTCACTTAATTAAATTTCTTGTATGTATCATTACAAAATTCAAATTTTATCTTACTTTAATTTTAACAACAAAATACACAATAATTTGAATTTTTCAAATGATAAAAATATTTTAAAATTGTATAAAAATATGTTAAAATTAAATTTAACTATTTTATAATTGAGTAATCATTTCTCGTGGGATCAACAACATAGACGTGTTGACGTCATTTTTATAAGATTAGTGATCAAAATCCGACCACTTCGGAGTTTAGTGAGCAATGGAAGACGTTTTTCAAAATTTAGTGAACAATCAAAAACGTTTTTTAAAGTTTAGTGAGTAATCAAAGACGTGGCAATTTATTAACAGCGTGATGAGGCGCTACGTGTACATTCCGTTAGCCACATCACTAATTCCGTTAAAGTTTTGAAATGGATGTTATGCTGATGTGTAACGTCTAACATTTGGATAAGTTTAGTGATCAAAACTTAATATCAAATTTTAGTGAGCAATCGAAGATACAAACATAACTTCAGACCATTGAGACAATTAACTCGTGATTCAATTAAGATAAATTAAAATTTAGTAACTCAATTTAAATTTTGCTGAAATTTCAATGGTCGACATCAAAATTTACCCCGATTGAGAGTGCATAAATTTTTTGAAAACGGAAAGGATTTTTCAAGAATCAAAATACATGGTTACACACAACAAAGGGAAAAATTCATAAGTTTAACTATCACTCATTTCAAAACTAAAATAAAATGTTTAAAATTTCAAAAATCAGATATTTATTAAAATTTATTTATGAAATAATTAATTAAATATATTAAGGCCACAATTCCATATAATTTGAACATAAATTCTCGAATTTTTCTTGATAACAATAAAAAAAATTTATAGGTCACAATTTATTTCTCGATCACAAATCAAGATTTTTTATAGGTCACAATTTATTCATCGATTACAAAATCAAAGTGTTTATAATTTACAATTCATTTATAAGTCACAACTTATTTAAAGGTTACAAATTGTCAAATTAATTGGTCACAAGTTATTTCTCAGTCTCAACTTAGTAAATTGTGAGTCACAATCACAATTTTTAGATCACATATTATATATTGGCCACAAACTATCCAATTTATTGGCTACAAACACTGTTGGTCCACTACCACACCAGCGCCAAAGTCCACTTGCCTTCGCCAACGCCACCAACACCACATGGACCGCCACCAACACCACCATCGTCACTGTCACCATCAGCACCACAACCACCGCCATTGCCACCACCATCTTCCCATCATCACGACTAGAACCACCGTCGTCATTGCCGCCATACCAAGAATCACAACCACCATCTCATTTATCTCCATCTCCACCACACCAGACCACCACCACCAAAAAATCTCCAAACTTGACTTTACCACCATTGTCGTCGCAGCCACCGTCGCCACTGCCTTTTCAACAATCACAACCACCTCAAATCCACCATGAGAAAATAGAAACAGGTTTCTGCACACGACCGTCGTGATCAATCCATTGGTGGTTCAGTATACGATGAAAATAGAAGCCTCAAACCACTGGTACAGAATAGTGGTTCTGCACACGATTGTAGTGTCGTCGCACGACGATCGTGTGCTGCAGTGCTACTGACTCTACGAGGCGTGCTTGCATCGATCGTATGCAGCTGTCGTGTGCCCAAACCAATAGCAATCAACGGAGCCAAATCAGTCTTTCTTCTACTTGTTGAAGTCGAAGCCATCGAAGGGGAAGAGAGAGGGAGAAGGACAATGTGGGTCAATGATATGGGATTTTAGGATTTTTAGGGTTTAGGTAGTTATGATTAGACAGAGGAGATAGAGTACACAGAGAGGATATTATTATTCATATTAAAGATTTGAATTAATATTTTTGTATAAATAAATTTTAGAAATAATGTTTTAAATTGGTTGTTTGAAATTCTGGTTGGGATAATTTCCACTACAACCATTTCCAAAATCTCCCCTTTTGCTGTTCAATTAGGTCTAGGAATCAAAACGTGCATGTTTCGTGTACGAAACTCACGTTAATTTTCTCTAGTGAATTTTTATTTTACATTTTGACGATCTAGGGTTTCCCCTTTCCGAAATAATTTCAAGATTTGTATCGTTTAAGATCCATTCCGATTTGTAATTTTAGTGGATTCCAATTTCTGTGCGATTCATTTCGAGAATTTTATCTGATCGGTGTCATATCATGCCAGTGAAGAGTGGAAATGCGTCGATTAGGGATCGGACGCAGGAGTTTTTGGCGGTAGTGGAAAGGGTAAGGAAACCATTTTCCTCGCAAAATGGGGCAACTAATAATGCAACGATTGCAGAGGAGCCGCCGCCCGATATGGCGATACAGTCGGAATTCAATCGTCGGGCGTCGAAAATTGGATTCGGGATTCATCAGACCTCGCAGAAGCTATCTAAGCTCGCGAAATGTGAGTTATTAAATTGTTGTTTGTCTCTGTAAATTAAGTAAATGGTAGAATAAGTTTTGGAAATTCTCTTTTTTGGATAGATTGTTTGAAGGGTTTATTGGAAGAATATCCTCGGAACAGGGGAATTCTTTGTGTATATGTGCCTGTGTTGGTCTGCATTGTCACGTAATGGTTGATCGAATTGAATTCCTATTATTATAGTTGGTTAGTTCTCCTTTTCACAGTGTTGAAAAATTAATCACGTTACGTCGT